CCACCACCACCACCATCACCATCATCGTCATCATCAGTGTCAGCAGCATCATCATCATCACCCCCACCATCATCATCATCATCGTCATCGTCATCGGCATCATCACGATCATTACAATCATCATCGCCATCACCAGCATCATAATCATCAGCATCATCCTAAACGTCATCAGTATCATCAGAATCATCGTATTAATCACTGTCATCATGATCATACTCATCATCACCAGCATCAGCATCAGCATCAGCATCGTAGTCAGCATAATCACCATCACCATCACCATAATCATCAGCATCATCCTAAACGCCATCCCCATCACCATAATCATCATATTAAGCAGCGTCAGTATCGTGATCAGAATCCTCACCAGCACCATCGTCATCACCAGCAGCAGCAGGAGCAGCGTCAACCTCTGCAGCAGCATCGTCGCCCTCATCAGCATCGCAATCATCATCAGCAGCAGCTTGCGCAACGTTCTTATCGCCAGCCTCATCATCCTCATCATTACCATCATCAGCAACAGCATCAGCATCGTTGTCGTCATCATCATCATCATCATCATCATCATCATCATCATCATCATCATCATCATCACCGTCATCATCATCTGCATCCCCTTCGCCCTTCTCCTCCCCTTCAACGTCACCTCCACCCCTCCCCCTCCTTCCACCCTTCATCATGCTACTCCCCTTCCACCTCCTGCTGCTCCTCCTCCTCCTCCTCGCCCTCCCCGTTGTCCTCCTCCTCCAACACGACCTCCTCCTCTACCCCCCCTTCCTCGTCCTCAGCATCCCTCCCCTCCCATCCCCCGCCCTCCTCACCATCAGCAGCAACACCATCATGTCGTCATCAACGCCGTCTTGTTTATACACCCTTACCAGTATAATAATTCTCTTTATGACTTCCACCACCAGCATCACCATCGTCACAATCCTCGTCTACATCCCCTTCGCATCCCCTCCTACCCATCCTGGCTCTCAAACAGCAGCCGATACATGTAACCTCACAACCTGACTACATGGTTCTCACTGCATCGTTCGCGCCTGGTGTGATGGCATTGAACGCGACGTACTTGATGCCTCCCCCACATATCTCACGCAGCACTGAGAGGGCTGTGCTGCTGCTGCTGCAGCCAGACTTGTAAGTCTTTCAGAGCCCAGACCATTCGTTTCCAGGCCGGCCCAGGGTCTGCTGAGCCCGCCCGACGACGCCGACGCCGACGACGACGATGCCCATGACGAGGCTCGCGGCGGCCTACTCCACCCAGGAGTGCCGCAAAACGAGCCCAGATGGCTTCAAGAGGCACCCAAAATGATCAAAGAAAGCCCTAGTCGCCCCAAGATCGCTCCAAAACGCCAAACATGGCCTCAAGATGGCCGAAGAGGCCTCAACGATGCCACAAGAAGCCTCTCAAAAGCCTCAAAAGAGGCTCCAGGAATCAACACGGCCCCCAAGAGGCCTCGAAACTGCTTGTAAGAGGCCCCCGAGAGGTCTCCCACGAGATCCCAACGAACATCCAATCCGCTTCATACAAACAACCCAGGCACGGTGGCGGGATGGACCAAAGGCCATTGGATGAACTCTCGGTTCTCCACCAGACCGGCGACAGAGCAGGGACAGTGCCAACACCCCCCAACCATCCTTGCCGAAAACTACAAAAGCTGCACTTTGCGGCAGAATCTGCATCATGTTCGGGCGCACCGCGATCGCTATACATTATTTGTTTGGCCAGGGACGACGGGGGGGGTCCCAGTCTCGAACTTATCCCTATCCCTAAGATTGACACGCCCGAAGGCGATGACAATCTTAGGGATGCGCCCTCAAAAAATAAGGGAATCCCTAAGATCGCCGTCGTGATGAGGCGATGCCCAACATAGGGATAGGGATAGGTTCCAGGCTGGTAAGGGGGCGCCATCGTCGTGGGCGTCGCGCACCTGGCTGGCGTCTGCATTTGTTCCCGATGGTGCGGCCACTGCGTATGCTGAGGAGGCTCGGGTGCTACTTATGTGGCGAGAGGGCAGGTTGGAGGAAGCAAGACGATCGTCATGCGGGGGGGCCCATTGGAGAGCTCAAGACGGCCCGCGACGGCTCCAAGACGGGCCCCAGAGAGCGCAAGATGGCCTCCAGAATGGTCCAAGACAACCCAAGATGGCTCAAGATGGCTTACAAGATGTTCCAAGAGGCCCCCCAAAGATCGCCCCAAGACGGCTCCAATTGGCCACGGAGCCTCCCAAGGAATACCAACAACGCCGATCGCCAACAACCGATCATCATTGCCATCGTCATAATAATCCTAATCAGCATCATCAGCTGCACTGTCCCCGCCAACCTCAATGATCAACTAACAATCATATGAATACCGATCGTCATCGTCATCATCGATTCGTCGACGTCCACGTCGTCATACCTGGCTTCCACATCCCCCGCCGGGAGAACCGAAGGTACCGATACCGCTACTCCCCAGACCTCTCCAAGGACGCGTTGTGGCCAGGACTCCGAGACAAATCCAACCATGACGGCGAGGGCCTCCCAGGAGGCCCGAGAGAGAGAGAGAGAGACGAAAGCAAGACAAGAACGACAGCATCAGCACCCCTTCCACCTCTGACGCTCCCCCTCCGCCCCTCCTCTGGGGAAACCAACGGGTACCGATACCGCTACTCCCTGGACGTCTCCCGGGGTGCGTTCCGACCCGGATCTCGAGGCGAATCCAGCGGTGGCGACGAGGGCATCCCGGGAGGCGAAAAAAGGAAAAAACAAAAAACAAAAAAAAGGAAGGGTAGAGGTGTGGATGCCTTGCCCTTCTCTGATCCTCCTCGTCCTCCTCCTCCTCCTCCTCCTCCTCCTCGCCTTTCTCCTCCTGCCGAAGGGGGAGGCGTGAATGGGCTGCAAGCTCCCAGGGGGGCCCAGGAGCCTGTTGTGCGCCACCCCACCCCAGACCCGCCCTCTTGGGCCAGGCGGCGCGAGCCTCGTGACGCGCCCGGGCGCCGCGGAGCGCGAGGAACGGTTCTGCGGTTAGGTCGGGCATGTCCCCCAACAGGGGGATTTTGAACGGAACAAAAAAAATGTCAAAAAATATGCCTAAATATTCACAAATGGTCCAAAAATCGTCCCCTGGTTATTTTGTTGACTACTTTTGAATATTTCTCTTGTAGAGGGACACGCCCGATTTAATTCTACGGCTCATTGTCGGCTCTACGGAGCTCCTGGGATTCGTAAAGCGATTGTTTGAGACGGAGACTGGACGAGGCCAACATCGGGCGAGGAGGAATCGAGGCACTCTGAGATCCGGCGGCTCTGGAGGACGTCTCGGGCGCCGCGGCCCCCTCAGCGCGCTCTGGAACACTCTGAGAGCGTTCAAAGGCTACGAGGCCCGATTGGAGGGGCCGCGGAGCCGGACCAGCCCAGAGATCAGTCCCAGGAGGAAGCCCGATTGCGCCGGATTGAAAAGGCTTTGAACGGGACGAGTCCGGAATTAGGCCCTTTTTAAACCAGCCTCGAACTTATCCCTATCCCTAAGATTGACACGCCCAAAGGCGATGACAATCTTAGGGATGCGCCCTCAGAAACTGAGGGAATCCCTAAGATCGCCATCGTGATGAGGCGATGCCCAACATAGGGATAGGGATAGGTTCCAGGCTGGTAATTTGTCTGCCACGGATATATCAGCGCCGATGCTGAGCTGAAACCCACCCGGGAGCTGCATCCTAACACAAGGGTGCTCTCTGTCAGGGGGCCCTCTGCTGCGCTGCGTCTTGGCAGGGGGGGAGGGAGAGAAGAAGACCCCCCAAAAAACACACACACACACACACACACACACACACCCAGACCCGCGTGGGCGTCCCGCGACAGCCGGCGACACGCCTCTGGTGCGCGCCAACCCTGCTGGCCGCGGGGGGGGGGGCGGGAGGGGCGAAGGACAACGACACGGGGCGGGACTGGCCCAAGGGGGGGGGGAGATCGACCTCCTGGAATCGGCGATACGCCGCCGATCGATCGGCGATGGGCCCCCGATGGCAACCCGCAGGTTACTGGGCTAGGCGGGCCATCGGGCCCCTGTCGGCGACGCGTGGGCGATCGGGGGAACGTTGCGTGTGCGTGTGCGTGTGCGTGTGCGATTGCGTGTGCGTGTGGGTGTGGGTGTGGGTGTGGGCGTGCGTGTGGGTTTGGGTGTGGGTGTGGGTGTGGGCGCGGGGCCTCAGGGCCTCAGGCACGCAAGCCCGTGCTGGCGGGGTGACCCCCTCGGCGGGCCCACACCGCAAGCCACTCTGGCGAAGGAGGGGGCGGGCCCCTGGCATGGCCGACGTACGGGGGGCGCCGCCCGCGGCTTTGGGAGAGCCCACCCCCCAAGCGTTGGCCCTTGGTTTTCGGGTCATGGCTGGCCGCGTCCACTGCGTATAATTGCCAACTTGCGGCGTTCACACACCCGTGCTGGCTGGCATTTTGCGCGACCACTCTCGGGAGCCTCGGAAGCCCAGCGGGGCTGGTGTGACCCGTTGTTGGCCCCACGACCCAACGGGGCTGTGTGACCCCGTGTTGGCCATGACCGCCGCTTCAACACAGAGCCCTGGCGACGCGAGAAAAATCGACGGCGCCAGCTCGGTTCTCTAACTGCCGTTTTGGACAAGTCGGGCAGCCCTGGAACACTCTCGACGACTCGCCCACACGTAAAGGTGGCCCCATGCAAAAGTGACCGTTGGGGCGCGGCGCGGGGGCGGCCAGATCCGCGCGCGCGGGCCACGGCCACAAGGGTCTCTGAGGGCGCACACTCTGGCTAAGGGTCACTCTCCCGCACGGCCGAACGAGGAACAGCTGATGGAAACCACCGAAGAACCCCGAAAGCCGCCGAAAAAATGTGGAAACCTTCCGCCTTCCCCCCCGATCGTGGTTCCTTGGCACGGCCCGCAGGGCGCGAGGCGAGGAGCAGCCTCGCGCCCCCCGTAAAACGCGACCCTTGCGGCGCACGGGGCCCACAACACCCCGCGGCCGAGATGCCCCAGCTCCTCGACGCAGTGCAGGCGCAGCGCGCCGCCCACGAGGGGTCCCGCACGCTTGAGGTCGCCCACCTTCGGGAGCAGCCCGCCCCGGGCCGCGGCGGCGGGCGGGGACGCCGCCTCTGGGACGCAGAAGCTTATACTACGGTCAGGGTTTGTTGTTTGGGGCGTCGCGGCGGCGGCCTCGGCGACACGCTATGCCGTGCAAGCGGATGGCGCGTCGCTCCGCTCCGCGGGGCGGGAAGCTGGGAAACGCTTTCTGCGCATCGACGCTCGGGGACTGGGACGTGGATAGCGAATCGCTCCGAAGCGCGATGGGCCAGAACCTGCGGCGCGACACGGTAAGCAAACGTTCCCGACCGTAGAATACACAGAATACATGCAGCAGGGCCAAAAAGTGCCCACCACCGAAGACGCACAGGACTTCTGAGCGCGCGCGTCACCCCTGAAAGGCCCACGCGCACATCGCATAACACTGTTTGGGTGATACGAGGGAACGCGATCCACCATCGCCAGCGTGGACCATTCGAGACGCTTCGCGTAACCCAACCAGCCCATCCAGAACCGATGCCCAGGCGAGTTCCCCGGATGAGGGATGCGGAGAAACATACAGTTGAATAGAGGGACAGGGACACTGGCATACCCCAAATGGGGGGGGGGCCGAGAAATGGATGTACAAATGGATGTGATAACGGTGAAATGTTCTGTGGAGTGAGGTAAAGCGAGCATTATAGCGGGCGCGAAAAGGAGCTCCCTGCAAACGGCGGCGGTGGCATGGCCCAGGCAAGGAAGGGGTGAGAAAGGAAGGACGAACGTTCGAGCCTGATGCTCAAACGAATCCATCGTGCCTCGTGGGTCTCCTTTGCGCATGCCGCACAGGAATCCATGGCACAAGGCACAAAAGGCTAAACTACGCCAGGGTGCCCCACTAACCTGACCCTGAACACTTGCCTGCAACGGGCTCTCTGCTGTCCGCGCCCAAGAGATCGTTGGTGGAGCACAGATTAAATTGCTGTTGCGGCGCAGATGACACAGACAACTGGAGCAGCAATCAAGCGAATGCCCAACTTCCCCGTAGTCCTTGGCCATGGACGCCCGCAACCTCAACGATCTCGCGGCCGTTGGGTAGGTCGACCCGCGCACAGGTGAACGAAGTTACGGCGTTAGACCCTGCGACACAATCACGCCATTCGCCTCTTCGCTGCTCGGCGAGGGCACTGCGCTGGAAGCGCGGGACGGCTTTATTCCTCTTCTCCTCGCTGAACGCGACCGCGCCACGGTTGCCACTGATCTGGCCGTCCATCGCGCAGAGGATGAGCTTCCAGCCCGCGATGCCCTCGGTCAGCCCGCATACCCCTAGCGTCGCACCAGAGTAGGTCCTCGACTTGCTCGGCGCGCAGCTGGTCGACCAACCACCACAGGCGGCCTGCCACGCTGCTCTCGGAAGGCGGCCGCTCTGGACCCACGAGCAGAGCGCCGAAGACGGGCGCGCCGTCGACGACGAGACCAGCGGGGGTCGCGCAACCCCCGCCCCCCCCGCAGCCCCCCGATCTCCTCGGGGGAGGCGGGGCCATGCACCGCCGCACGCAGCGCGAGGAGGCGCTGCCAGCAGTCCGTCGGCTGCGCCGCATGCCAGGGGCAGCTCCGACTCGAAAGAAGATCTGCACGCCAGCTTGTGCGATCGGCCCACTGCGCCCAACAAGCGTCACACTTGCTCGCCGGCGCGGCGGCGCTTGCCGAGACGCATGCAAACGGCCCCTCTCAAGCCGCACCCTGTCCGCCCCCACCCCCCCCCCTGAACAACCCGTCGCGGCGCGCCCTGAGTTACACGCACCACGACTGGAAATGAGACGCGCGCGTTTGTCTTCTGCGTGGCCAGAACGACTGAATTGAGCTGCATCGTGCTGCAAAGATAATCAACTCGTTCTTGGCTCGATGCAGGGGGGCGATGCACGCGGAGACGCGGCGCTGGGCGACCAGGGCGCAGGCCGCTGCTCCCAGCGCGGAGCCAGAAAAGATCTGGAAGCTGACCTCCGGCCGGCTCTCGGCCTCGGCATCGAGCGCCACTGCAATCGCCCTGGTCGAGATTCGTGGCGCCAGCGTCTCTGCGGTGCCGGCGCGCTCCGCACTCGGTGAAATCGTCGCAATCGCCCTTCATCTTGCCGAAGACGCCCCCGAAATGGCCGATTGGCCGATCGACGCGCCTCCTGTGCCCAGCGATCTTCGGACCGCCAAAGCGCTTCGACAACTTGAGCACTAGCTCTGAATCGCTGGAGCCAGAAGCACCAAACGTCTCGCGCATGACCTCAAGCACCGGGCCCAACCGACCAGGTTTGGCGCCGCGCTCTGACGAGCGCGCGGCCCGGGCGAGCTTCGTGGAGAAGGCGCCGGGCGCGCCCTTGCAGCCCGTGCCCTTCTTAATGCAGCGCAAGCACTCTGTCTGCTCGTCGCAGCTGCTGCAGCCGGGCGCCTGCCGGAGCATGGCGGAACTGCCGGGTGCTTCGCCTTGCCCCTGCACGTCGCCGTAGGCCACGCCTTGCAGGGGCGCCTCCTCGACGCCCACGGCGACGAGCGCCCAGTCTGGGCAGCGCGCCGCCACTGAGGACGGCAGTCGCTGCGACGCCCGCTTCGCTGCGCCAGCGAGAGGCCCCCTGGGGCCCGGACCGACGTCGCGGAAGCCCCTCACTTGAGGACACGCCTGGAGCCCATCACGCTTCGGGCGCCCTTGAGCGGCCACCCCTCGAAACATGCGCACTCGGCCCAGATGGTGAGCTTTTTGAGAATGGCCGCTGCGACCTCCACTGACCGACTCGACACTTCCCCGTTGCTCAGAAGGTCGGCGTCGCGCGCGACGGCCGCGGTCTCGGCGGCGCCGCCGATGCAGAGCTCGGCTGCGCGGGGAGCGCTAGCGACGCAATCGCTAGACCGCGCCCCGTTGAAGCTCAAGAACGCATCGCGCCCCTCCTGGGTCAAGACACAGCTCAACGCGCCCCCCACCTTCGCCCTCCTCTTGCGCGGCGCAATCCCCGCGCAGATAGCATCGGCACTGCGCGTGGAAGATGGCGCGCTGGCGCCGCGCCTCGAGGCGACGGGGCCACTCGCGGGGCCCGCGGCCAAGGCGGGCCACGGCGCGCTCGGCAGCAGCGCAGATGCGCCGGCTGTCGGCGCCCCCCAGCCCCTCGAGCTCAAGGGCCAGGTCTTCTGCGCCCTCGACACCGAGCCAAGCTGCGCACATCACCAATTAGGCGCGGCCCGCAGTGGCCGTCGGTCTCCTCGGGCATAGCTGACAGGGCAGACGGTGAACCCCCTTCGGCGGCCCCGGCGGCGCCCTCGGGAACGTCGATGGCGCAATCATCGAACTCCGCCCAGGTCCTGTCCAGCGTCCGCTGCCAGCAACGGTTCGTAACCCAAGATAAACAGCTCGCCAGTAATTCGAAAAATGCCGGACCCGACGCCTTCGAGGAGGAACTGCTAGACGCCGGTCGGGCTCCGACCCAAAAAAAAAGAGGCGGCGAAGCCGCGGGCGCGGCCGGGCCAGTTGCCCACAGATTTCTGGCTGCGCAGCAGACTCACGGCACGGACGTCTGGCGGCTGGAAGCACCTGCGGGGCAGATGGCACCGAGCTTCGAGGACGCCGGGAGATTGCCGGGTCTGCACGTTCATCTGCGCCCCCCCAGTGGCCGAAGGCCCCGGCCCCAGAGCATGGCGCGACGTGCCCCGCGCAGTCCTCCACGCGGCCCTAGGCCAAGCCAGCTCGCGCCACGCCAGCGCCCGCGTCTTCGAAGACGGCATCGGCGAAGGCCCAGGCGCCCTGCAGTCCGCACGTCATCTCGGCGCCGCGACACTCGGCCGCCACCATGCCTCGAGACCGACCAAAAACCAGCCCGGCCCGACGCGCCCTCCGCGCTCGGGGGCCCGTCGAAACGCCCCTCCCCGGCCTCGGCGGCGCGGGCATGCAAGGCCCAGGTGACGCGCGCGCGGAATCGACGCGGCCTCGATCGCACGTTGCGGCGCGATCTCTCGGGCGAACTGCCGCAGTCAGCCGGGCCGCGCTTCGCCGCCGGCAGACAGCGCGGCACCAGCGCCGCGGGCACCGAATACCTCACCTCATCGTCTGCTTCGAGCGGCGGCGGCATGGACGGCCGCCGTCCGAAGAAGACGTCGCACAGCACTACGCCGCCCACGCGCGCGGAGCCGTTGCCGGCGAAGATAGCGCGCGCAGGCATAGAATCGAAGTTCTCCGCGACACCTTCGCGCTCGAGCAGCTCTGCGGCGGCGCAAAGCGCGCGTCGTAGCGCGGCGCCGCGTCGCTCGACAAAGCGAGCGCGCCGACGAGGAGCCCGAATATCCAACTGCACTCCTTGCCCCCTCATTTCCTCCACGAAGTGCGGCGAATCGCCCAGGCCCCGTCGTCCGCGACGAAAATCCCATCGCAACGAACAGCTGAGTCCATGGGCGGTCGACGACGGCAAGCTGCGTCGAGTCGAAGCTGGCCGCGTTTCCCCGGCCATTGCGCCACCGCGAGGCGCAGCAGATCAGATGGAAGATCGCGTAATCCCCGCAGCACGCGATGTCGCACCCGACGCGCTGATTGGAGCGCGACGAAAGACGGAGCGCAGGGATGGTTCGGCGCGCCAGTGGCAGCCACTTTCGAAGCCCCCCACAGTTGTTGACCACCCTGGGCACGAAGTCGAGGATGCATTGCGCTATGTTGGCTGCTCGCATTGCTCGCGCCATCCCCCCCCCTGGCGGCGCGCCGCCACCGGGGGCGTAGATTGGACAGTTCCCACGCGCGCGTCTCATGCGAGTCACCGCGGAGTGATCGCAAGGACGCGGCGACGTCGAAGAGGGCCCAATATGCGGGCGTCGGCTTTGCCAACGGCCGAGTCGACAGCTCGCGGCGCTGACCGCCAGACTGGCTCGCGCCCCTGTCCGAGTGACACGGTCGCCCGAACTACTACCGCAGGCCTCAGTGACACAGTCACCCAGACCGCTACCCTTAACCCCAGCGCTAGACGCTGAGCTGGCCCCCGATGCTCCAGCGGGCGCTGGCAGGGCAGCCTCGTCTGCGGCCCCCAGGTCTGCGCCGCTGCGCAATTGGGCCTGCCGGTCGCAAAATG